TCTGGTGTCTCTAAGCCATTGAGGACCAGTGTTATAGCCATTTAAAGTGCAGATAAATCAACAGATTGATTCATCGATTTGTCAAAAATATTCATATTCATTACAACGGATCAATATGAATCACCATTGTTTTGATTTGTCCCCATCTCTAATCTTATCCTTAAAGTAGTCTGAAGCTGATTTTAGGCAGGACTGTGTGGTTTGGAAATTTCCACTCACTGATTCATACAGAAATAGCCCATCACTCTGCAAAAGCCTAACTGTTCTGATTAAAAACATAATAGCCATTTTATTGATATTTTGATCTTAAAAGGGAAACATTACTGATGGTGCAGGTAAATAAGCAGAGCAATATAACGTGCAGAGTCAATAAGAGCTCATCTGTACAATAGTGTTGTTTCGGTTCAATTTGAGGCATTGCTGAATTTTTTTGTTGCTAAATTGAACTGTTTCAGATGGTATTTGTGTCCAAATGGTTGAGTACAATTGTTTCTGTAATCACTGGAATGAACCAGTCTGCACATATTAAATTGTCCACCAACGTTTAACCCCAACACTTATTGTCCTCCTGGTTTGCCTATATTCTCTGCCCTTTCTATCAAGGTTATTCACCTCCTCTATTTAAAAAAAATACTCTTTTCTAGATTTTGTTTTGTTTTTGGTGGGTGGGGTGGGGGGAAATAGAGCTGTCATGGACAGCTGCTGATCTCATCATTTGACAGCAAATGCTCACTGCCTTCTAAAGATCATATGAAATCAGCTGAATTTGATGCAAACACTTCAAAAATTTGGGAAGGGAACCCTGTCCAAAAGGTTTCTCTTTCTTACATTTTGTTTCCTTTTTCCTTTTTGGAGAGGAGCTATTAGGGCTGTTGTGATATAGATTATTAAGGTTAAAATGTGAATTATGTATGGGATATGTAGTTGTGGAAAGTTGTAGAAAGAATCCATATTGGTTCTGTGTTAGCATGATTTTGTGCCATGAGAATGTTTTCTCCACAAGGTGAATGGAAAATTCCATGTAAGCAGCCTTGTTCTGAGATGATAACACTTGTTTGGATCAAGACCTGAGACGAGAAGATGGGAAAACAACACCTGTACTTCTCATGGGAAAAGGAGGCATGATGAGAAGAGACTGTCCTTTACGCCTATTGGTTAACATCTTGGGAGAACAAAGAAGAAGGGCGGTGCCAATAATGAAGAAAATGGAGGATGTGGACAGAGTGAGGGAATTTGAGTTCCTTAGAACTTTAACTTAGAATTAGGAACTAGAATGGAGGATTGAGTTCCAGATGCCAGTTTTTTTGCTAAGATGTAGTTTAGAGAGAGAATAGTGGAGGGGGGCTATGCCTTGCCTGCCTTCCAAGCCCTTTTTTAGAATTTTATTTCATTTTTGCTAAATGGAATTTGTTAAGATTCTAACTGTAATATCTTATGGAAATATAACTTATGCTTTGCTTATGCAACAAACTGAATGTCTCTAAATACTTTATTTTTCTAATAAAACAATTATTCTTAAAATCCTAAGTTTGGTCTCTTGAACAGCAAATCTGCTGAGCCTGCTTGCAGAATAATAGTTAGGCCACGGAATGCTACAGAGTCCTTTTTGCTTGAGCTTTGTTCGTCCTGGGGGACTCCAAAGCTCATGATTTTATCTTTGTTTTTTATTTCTTAATTACTTACAAGAACAGGCTTGTGGAAAGAGGTTTGTGTCACATCCTGGCTGGGGCACCCAGACTCTGCTCAGCTAATTAGAAGTGCACATACGCCTGGACCCTCTCTGTTCAGGCAGCAAGAATCCTTTAGGGGATGTTGTCGCTGACAAGGGCGATTTTTAAGTACCTTTTCTCATCCTTTGACAGTTCACTGACCTCTTAAGATCACTGGGAAATCACTCTTTTTGGCAGCAACCTTTAGGAAAATGTGAGTTGCTGTGTGTCCAGAAGCAGAGTAAGACATTATCTGAGAAAAAGCACACCACCATGTGTAATTTATAATTACAAACCATTTATTTACCTTGCTTGGTTCTATTTTAAAACATGGTGCTATTCTAATTAATTTGGATATGAAAACAAAACAAAACATTTTGTGCCTAAAGCAAGTGACAAATATGTGACAAAAATTGTCTCTCCCTCCCACTAGAAGTCACAAAAGGCCTTTTAAATTATAAGAAAACAAAATGGCAGCTGCTGCTGGTGGTGCAGGGACTGCATGGGCCCCTTAAGGTACCGAGAGGAAGATTTGCCATTCCTCAAACTGCTGGAAGTTGCCCACATGGATTCTGATGCTTGTCATGACCTTAGTCTTGAGCGTTCTATCAGAAGTCTGATATGGAAACAGAAAGCAGGTCAATGATATCTTCCACTAATATCTCAGCACAGAATTCAGTCCTTCATCATAAGTGTGAGACTAGTACCTTGGAACCCGGCTCTAAACAGAAACAGCATGAAAAATACCCATACATATTGCTGTACTTTTAGTCATGATCTTTCAACAGATACTATTAGTTTATCTGCAAAAGAGAACTGATTCTAATTGCTTTGAATTAAGCAGAAAACAGATGTATAAGCAAATGAAAATAACAATAATTGATGTGTTGATAATAACGTTACAAAATGGTTATCATAGATTTATTGTTTCTTAGCCATTTACATTACCATCTGTATGCACTGGACCACTCTGGCTTTTAGAAAAGGAAGGGTGGCATACAATAATCACACCATAAAGCCTCAATATTTCATTCTGTGCACACTAGATCTTGTGCCTATGAACTGTTATTTAGCTACTTAGTTTTCCTGGGCATGGGTTTTGACCAAATCACCTCCCACTCAGATGTTCTGATTGCATGAAGAGGAATCTGATTGTGCTATTTTCATCCATCAGCTTCATAAAAGCTTTTCTTAAAACTCATCAGAACCCCTAGAGCCACTGATGAAATTATGTTTCAGAAGCTAGAAGGGTGAACGGTTGAAATAACTGCCTACATTTGATCCCAGCATCTGCAGAAGTAGGTTGCTAGGCCTGTCGTGGTTTTTTTAAAAAATTTATTTATTTATTTATTTACTTATTTACTTATTTACTTACTTACTTATTTATTTATTTAATTTATATGCTGCCCACACTACCCAAAGGTCTCAGATTTATGGGAAAGTGTGCATTCTTCTTTCTTGGCTGTCACGTTTCTCTGCCTGGGACCCAGTCTATGAGAGCCAAACAAGAGGTGACATAGGAAATCTACAGTTTTCTGTAATGAAGTTATGATTTTATTTGGGAAGTCATTATTTTCATGGCTTGCTTGCTTGCTTGCTTGCTTGCTTATTTATTTATTTATTTATTTATTTATTTATTTATTTATTTATTTATTTATTCATTCATTCATTCATTCATTCATTCATTTATTTATTTATTTATTTATTTATTTATTTATTTATTTATTTATTTATTTATTTAATGTTCTATATCAGAGATTCTGGGGCATTCCACATGATGGAAGTCAGTGTATAAAAGGCTATATTCCTGATGGACCTCAAGAAGTTCTCAGAGCCACGTGGAATTGCTAGCTGCACCAACTCAGAAAACCTCAACGATTGCATAGAATGAGTGGAGGAAAGCCATACTGTACGTTCCCCTGGCCCTGTGTGGTTTAGGGCTTTGTATAGCAGTACAGTAGCAGTACGGAGGCATTTGAAGAGGCACTTGTTCAGCAGGCCGAGGCAAAGAGGCAGTCCTGAAACCAGGATAGGATAGGATAAAACTTTATTACGGTCAAAGACCAGCCACCCTGAAACCAGCAAAATCAGGGAGATGGACAAGGGACAGATTGTATTTGTCTTCAGTATGGAAGTGATTGTCACTTTTGAATTGGCCTTCTCAACCACAGTAGATGCTGTTCTAAGATCTCTATTCAGAGCACGTTGCCATAGTCTCTCAAGACTGAAGGGTGTCTACTTAGCAGTACAGTGGCTAGTAAATCAAGGGAGCCATGAATCCAAACTGTTTGGGAACCACTGCCTTAAAACAACAATATTTGCCACTGATTACAGGAATCCACTCCTGAAATTATCAGTCACTGCAGCAGTGTGGCTGGCATCCCCGATAAACTTGGGCATTTTTTAAAAATCAACTAATATTTATCTCAGAGATTGCTATTAGATCTTTTTGAAGCAAGGACATAACAAATTTTCCACGTAGCAGAAAGGTATTGAAATATATAAGTGGATTAACCCCATATTTCCTTTATTATTTATGGAAGTTAACATCTGTGGCAATTAATATAAATACTGGAAGGTACAAACAAGCTTATTTCTCACTCAGCCAAATACTGCATATATACTTTCCTTCATACTATATAAAAACCCTTAAAAAATACAAGAAAAAGACTTGGAATATCCGAATAGAATCAGTTTTCTCAGCAGGAATCTTCTGATTCATATACAGTGGACCCTTGACTTACAGACGGCTTGACTTACAGACATTTTGAGTTACAGACTTCTCTGGCTGCAAAATTTAGGTTTGACTTGCAGCCTGAGAATTGACTTACAGAAAAAAAACCAAAATGGAACAAAAACGGCCTGTTACGGGATTAATCGGTTTGCAATGCACTGTAGGTCAACGGAGACTTGACCTACAGGCTTTTTGACTTGAGAACCGCCTTCCAATACGGATTAAGTTCTCAAGTCAAGACCCCACTGTACCATCCAGGAAGTAATAGCTTCCATCTCCCATGTCAGCGGTTGACAGACTGGTGCCCCTCCCCAAAGGATTTGGAGTATGTAGACCACAAGTTCCATTCTGGATGGTCAGTGATCAGTGATTAGGACAGGTGCCATCCAAATTATTTGGAAATTACCTACTTCCATTCTGTGGTTTCTATGCAATATTTGAATCAACACTAAGAATGATGTCATAGCTTTTATATTGGCAGTGACATCACAAAGATTCTAGAAAGGAATGTTACTTCTTAGAACCTCGTAAGTGAACAGTAGGAAAGTGGAAAAAAACAGACATGGCCGAACACGAACACGGCGGCTCTCACCATTTAGAAGATGCAGAGAATTGGCAAGAAGACATTGGAAGCCACTGCACTGATTATCTCCAGATGGCCTTTATCTCTGCTTGTCTGTCTATCTTTCTTGGAGGCATTATTGTCATCATGATGTTCAGAATAACTGAGTCCGTCATACGCTATGTCTTCTATAGATGTCACTATGAATCTAAAGTAAGCATACAAATAAATGGTGGGAAAGGAGGAACTGTGTACCTGGGAAAAACAAGATGTTCATTGATTTATACATGATTATATTTTAACATAAATACAGTGGGGTCTCTACTTAAGAACTTAATCCGTATTGGAAGGTGGTTCTCAAGTTGAAAAGTTCTTATGTTGAATCTGCATTTCCCATAGGAATGCATTGAAAACCATTTAATCCGTATCTGCTCTTTTCCGTCCATAGAAACTACAGTGGAACCTCTACTTAAGAACTTAATCGGTTTTGGAATGGTGTTCTTAAGTTGAAACGTTCTTAAGTCGAAGCAAAATTTCCCATAGGAATGGACTGAAAACCAATTAATCTGTTCTGGCTGTTTTTTTTTTTTTTATGTAGAGGTGCCTTCGTACATTGAAGCATTAGTTCCCATAGGAACTAATGCAAAGCTGGTTAATACATACTCTACCACTAGGGGGAGAATTTTTTTTAACCTAAGATGACCTAAAGTTAAAAAAAGAGCAGGAAAGGTTTTTTTTTCCTGTTCTTATCTTGAATTTCTGTTCTCAAGTAGAAGCAAAATTTAGCAAATGGAGCTGTTCTTAAGTTGGATTGTTCTTAAGTAGGGACGTTCTTAAGTAGAGACCCCACTGTAAGAATGTTCCAGTTGGTATATTATGTTGACAGATGAGAATTATATCGAAAGAGAGGAATGCCATAGATATAATGTTTCTTGATTTCAACAGGGCTTTTAACTTAGACATTGTTAAGTGGATTTATAGCTGTTTGAAAGACCATGTCCAAAAAGGTGTTCATCAGTGGTCCCTCACTAGAGATGGGCATGAGCTGCTAAGCTGGTGGATCGTGGTGGTTCATTTTTCAGCTGAACAGCTGTTTGGCACTTCCCAGCCTCACCTGCTCCAGTGAGCGTCCACTCAGAGGCTGGCAGGGCGCAGAGGAGGCAGGGCAGGGAAACCAGGGTGCTGTCTCTGAGTTGGGTGCCTGCTGGAGGAGATGGGGCTGGAAGACTGCCAAACACCCATTCAGCTGAAAAATGAACCCACATGAAAACCAGTTCAGCAGTTTGTGCCCATCTCTATACTTCACCATCCTGGAGAGAAATGACAGGCACCAAAATGATTTGGAAAAGAGAAACATTTAGGCAGGAAAAATCATGTGCACAAACTTAGGACAGGTGAAGCTGGCTTACAGAGGTATCTGTGAGCGGAGGTCTCAGTAGACCATACACTGAATATGAATCAATACTGATGTAGCAGCAAAAAAAAGGTGAATGCATTCCTAGCTTGCATCATCAGAAATAGTGTCCAGATCAAGAGAGGCAATAGCATTATATTCTGCTTTGGTTACATCTCGCTTGACTGCTGTGTCCACTTCTGAACATCACCATTTAAGAAGAATATTGAGAAGCCTGGACCATATTTAGAGCAGGGGTGAATACTGGTGGTAAAAGAAACCAAGTCCTGTAAGAAATATTTGAGAAAGTTGGATATATCTAACTTTGGGAAAAGCTAGGAAGAAGAAATTGTTTTGGGTTAGTTAGGGTTTGGGGGAAATGAACCAGAGAGAAGGAATAGGGATTTGCTGGCTGGCAGGAAAGTGCCTTTGGGCACACAGTCTCTCATTGGAAAGGAGAGGAAAGATCAGTGGTTTAAATGTTTGTTGAAACAGTACATCCACTTTCAACTAGCTCTGCTTATGTAATAGTTGTAAAAAAAAAAGACATATCCAAAGAGTTAGATAGTCTACAGTCTTTCTCATACATAGAAAACTGAAGCCTATAGAACTGTTCCAATAACATTAGGCCATTTGAGGAGAGAGTTGGGGTATATAACAAAGATCTAAGAGGTGGGAGTGGTCTGCCTGACTATGGCCATAAAGAAATCTGATTCATGTGGTGTAGTGGTTAAACATTGGACTGAGGCTTGGGAGATCCACATTCTAGTTCCTGATGAGTTCAAAATCTTAATAGATGAACTTCTTCCACCTACCTGACTTAAAGTTGTTATGATGATGAAAGCATGAATCTGGAGGGTTCAAAAAAACCACATAAATATATAATCCAGATTAAAAAATTAGTAAAAGATATATACCAAGATATAGAGATTCAGATGATGCTGACTAGTAAGTTATGTTGAGACATGTTACAAGAGCCATTTCTTTATTTTATGTTTTACAGATATTTTCAGTAAAGATGCCTATGCTGAATTACTGGAAAGGACACTTTCAGGACTGGGTGGTGAGGATGCTCTCAGCACAGACCACTGTCGGGCGTGTACTGGTGAGTGGTTTGATGTATATTCACTGACTGTGGGCAGTACAAGTGGATGCAAACCAGCTATGAGGGTAAGGCAGCACTGGAAAGTAATGAATATCTCTGTGTTTAGGCATAAGTGACAAAGGTTATGCAGTCAAAATGGCACGCCCTGTATAGAATCATAAATGCATGAAGTTGGAAGGAGCCTGTAAGGCCATCAAAGCCAATCCCCTGCGCAGTGCAGAATTGAAAATAAAGGTATATCTGCCAGGTAGTTGTCTAAATTTCTGTTGAATGCCTCCACTTTTGGAGCACTCACCACCTCTCCAGGTTATTGGTTCCATTCCTGATATTCAACCAAAATCTGGCTTCCTTTAACTTGAGCCTTTTATTGTGTGTCCTGCACTCAGGGATTATTGAGAATAGATCCTCCCCCTGCTCTGTAAGACAGCCTTTCAAATATTTGAAAAGTGCTATCTTATCTACCCTCAGTCTTCTTTCCTCAAGCTTAAACATGCCCAGTTCTTTCAGTCTTTCCTCATAGAGCTTGGTTTCCAGACCTCTGATCATCTTTGTTGCCGTCCTCTGAACTTGTTCCAATTTGCAGCATCCTTCTTGAATTGTGTGTCCTGAACTGGGTCACAGTAGTCAAGGTGAGGCCTAATCAGTGCCAAATAGAGGGGAAACTAGTACTTCATGGGGTTTGGAGACTATACTTCTGTTAGTGCAGCCTAAAATAGCATTTGTCCCTTTTTTGCCACATCACACTGTTGGCTCATATGCAGCTTGTGATTAATTGCTAATTGTTATTATTGAGTTTGCACATGTTTTCAGCCTACATTCCCCAGAATCCCTGACCATTACTCATGTTGGCTAAAGTTTCTGAGAGATGAGGCCCAACACCATCTGAGAATCCAAACATCCGCTGTATAGAACAGTGGTTCCCAACCTTGGCTTACCTAGATGTTCTTGGACTGCAACCTGAGCATGCCCAGCCAGAAGCCTCTAACCAGGTGGAGCCTTCTAGGAGCTGCAGTCCAAAAACACCTGGGTTACCCGAGTTCAGTAACCACTGGGGTAGAAGGAAGAGGTACCAGCAGGCTCAGAGAACTGTAAAAAAATCTGGTGGAAGGAGATACTTAATAGGTGGGACCTGACTAATCAAATCAGGCCATCAGAGAGAAAGCTGCAAAACTGGAAGGAAAATGAAAGGGAGTTGAACATATGTCTGGCTGGCCAGCTGAGCACTGATCAGAAAGACTCTGTACGGCAGGACTTTGTTATAGTTCATATTTCTTAATTCCATTTAACAACAAGATAAGCTGGATAGAGTGTCAGACGAGGACTCAAGACTTTTAGGTTCAAATACGAACTAGCCATCCAGAGTAGACTTCAGTCTAGATGGGCAGGATATAAATTGAATAAATAAAAATAAATAACTAAATAATGGAAATTCACCGGGGGGGTGGGTGAGGCAATAGAAAAAAATTCACATACCTCAAAAACTCTATTAGGATCACTGTAAGTTGGAACCCGCTTCACAGGACATAACAATAAAACCAAGTGGGGAAGCGATAGGTAAAGGTAAAGGTTCCCCTTTACATTTAGTCCAGTTGTGTCCAACTCTAGGGCGCGGTGCTCATCCCCATTTCCAAGCCATAGAGCCAGCGTTTGTCTGAAGACATTTCCCATGGTCACGTGGCCAGCACGACTAGACATACTAGTCTACAGTATGTCTAGTACATACTAGTACTGTGAAGCGATACTTCACAGTAAATTTGAAAAGTGAAGGGAAATATAAAGAAAATCTCAGAGTTGGTCTTAGCAGTGGTTCCCAACCTTTTCTGAACTGTGGACCAGTTGGGAGGATGGGAGGGCAGCACCCATGCGTGGGGAGGCAGGGCACCGTGCATGGTGTGGGGTACCAGTGTGAGTGGGTGGTGCACCCATGTGTTCATGTGGGGGTGTGTGGGGTGTGTGTGTGCATGTGTGGGGGGTGTATGTGCGCAGGGGGTGGAGATCTGTCTCCATGGCCTGGTCCTGCCAAGGCCACGGCCCGGTACTGGGCTGCATACTGGGGATTGGGGACCCTGGGGTCTTAGGATAGTATTCCAGAAGGCAGTTTCTTGCTCAATGGGAGCCCTATTCAGCCATTCTAAACAGTAAGCCTGGAGAGGGAACGGTTATTGGATGCTTCAGCCTCTCCCTCTCTAACCCAACGTTCCTCTTGTTTCGGAAGAGGGGGGAAATCTGAAAACTTTTTCTACTCTCATTGAATGTGAGCCTCATGGTGCAGTGGTTAAGCTGCAGTACTGCAGTCAAGCCTCAGCTCATGACCCGATTCGATCCTGTCAGGTTCAAGTAGCCAGCTCAAGGTTGACTCAGCCTTCCATTCTTCTGAGGTCAGTAAAATGAGTACCCAGCTTGCTCAGGGGCAAAGTGTTCCTTGCTTAATTATGTAGTAAACCAGCCAGAGAATGCTCTTGCACTATGGGGTGGTATGTAAGTCAAAATAGCAACAACTGAATGTGCTTACTGTCTTTCAAAGATTAGAAGTCCTGATAAAATAGTCTGTGTCGCTCTCTCTCCGACATTTCAATTTGGTAAATGTGCATAGGCCTGTTTATCAATGGGAAAGAGCAGAATTGTTTTGAAGAACAGGAAGCCTTCATGTGGCCAAAGATGGTAGAGTTGGATGGGTGAAGGTCAATACTAGGAACTCCGCAGCTAGCGAATGGAGCGAATGGAAACAGAGTGGGTTTAGGGCAAAACCATGAACAATTTTTCAGATAAGAGTAAGAAGCCTGTCCTGGATCTGGCGGTGGATAGTATGATAGCACAGTGACTTAAGAAACAGTGTTAGACGGTGAAAATGGTGAGACGGGATGAAAATAGGGATGTGAACAATGATCACTGAACTCCTCACTCTTGATGACTTAGGCTGTTGTGACCCAACAAGAATCTCAATAAGGAATTTTCTAGAAAAATTCTTCACCCTAGGCAAGAATAAGACCTTGATCTTTCTTTACAAGGTTTTTATAATTTGTGCAAACTCTTGAACTATTCTTCTTTCTCTTTGAGAAACAAAACACATACACACAGAACAAGCACGGAATGACTTCTAAAGCAACTTTGAAAGATTTTTTTAAAAGATACAAATAACTCCTTTGATGCTTCTAATTCTTAAAAGCTCATAGTGTAGTGATTTATACTTTTATTTGAGCTTTGAAGAGGGATGCAAAGATGAAAGAGGTGGTGTTAGGGTAGTATCCCAGTAGGTAGTAACTGGCACGACAGGAGTTGTTGGGTAGTTAATTTGGCTAGTTAATTTGGGTAGTTAAAATATTTTGTGCCATCTTTGTGGGTTAAAAAAAATAAGTTTGTAGTTCCAGGTGAGGAATGAGATACCAAATAGTTTGATATGCGTAGAACAAGGTTTGACAACACAAGCTGAAGGAGAAGGGTGGAGCACTGAAGACAAGGGACTTGTGTGGGGTTGTTGTCGAGAGCTTTCGCTCAGAGAGCTAAGGGGAGGGGCAACATTTTTGGAACATTTTAAGGAAAGAAGAAACACAATTTGACAAAGCCTGACCTTGCAATGTGAACAGGAGAGAGAAAGACTAGTCAAAGGGAGAACTCAGGTTTCATGAGTGATCAATAGAGTAGATAAAGAGAGTGGTCAGAACCTTGTTAGTATTGATGTGAGATTTTTGTAATTTATCAGCACTGATTGCAACTTACTGATAAGGTATCCTTGTGTATTTGAGTCATGTCTCTGGTCATGTGCCCAATTGCGCAACTGAGATATGACTCAACAACCTGCTCAATTAGCCACAATTAACTGCAGCAAGTTAAGATTCTGTACATTGAATGAAACCATTTGTTTTGAGTTGCCACGTCCCTCGTAATAGGAAGAAAGCATCCTCCTGAACAGTGTGCTCCACTATGTGTACCTCAACATAAAGAAAACCTAAAACAAAGTCTGAAGTGTCCATACTAAACTTCAAATATGCTATTTTATCCTCCTTTTTAGAAGATGTTTTAAGGTAACTATTCACTAATTATTCCCTTATCATTGATACAGTGATTTTTTTTTAAATTTTGCTTTAGGTCGTACTGGTGTTCCTCTTTAGCATTGGATCACTTATCATTTACTTTATCAACTGTTACAGGTAACTCAAATCTTCACACTTTTCCTGAAGCGTCTCTTCTTTTATTTATTTTTAATTTAGGTATATATGTCAAAGATTTGCATTCTTCCTTGGTGCTGTCAAAATAGCCCAGGCACTGAACAATAAGATCAAGAAGCAATGATGATAAATAAACAAATGAAAAAATCATTTATGTTTCACATCTCTGATGGCAGAAAGGTCCCAAAGCAGGACTTAAAAACTTATCAAAGCACTCTTAGGAACACAGGAAGTTATCTAATGCTGAAAGAGAGTGTTGATCCTTTCAGCTCGCTACTGTATTCAGCTATCTTTTGCAATTCTCTGTCTCATTTGTCCCATTTATATTACATGGCATATTCTGTATTCTCTCCCCCCACCCGCCCCACCATCCAATTGCTGAATTCAAGCTAGCAGCCTAAATACAAGACACACATGAGCATCTGGAGCCCAAAAATGCTGAGAAAACAGCAACTGTATTTGTTAGATATTTACAACTGCAGCATATGTTACTACTGAAAGATATAGGGTACAAGCAACTACATTTTTCAAAAATGGGACTGTTCTTGGTTGGAAACAGTGGCATCATTTCGAAAGGCACAAATCAATATGGCTTTGGCAATTTCATTATGTCATTCTGCACTTGTCAACAGCATGAAATGCGGAAACTGTCAAGGGTGTCAAATGGAATTTGAAATCTGATTTGTTGATGTAGAGCATGGGGCATAATACAATGCAGTGTGAATGTGGTTTAGCTCAAAGGATGCCAGCTTTTTAAATCATTTAATTAAACTAAAATTCCATTTTAATGATGATTTTTTCCACCAGTCTCACTGGCACTGGTTTCTAATGCAGAGAATGAGGCATGTACACAATATTGTTCTGTGTAAAAAAAAAGTGTAAACAAAGGTACTTGGGTGATCAATCTCAAAGGTAAGGTCACATGATGAGCAGTATCAAGGGCTGTGAAAAGCCAACTTCCCCAGTCAATCATTTCTGTATTGGACTGGCACCACCATTGAAGTCAGCAATCCCAAGGAACTGAGCCACAGAGCTAAAACATAGCCTATGAGGTAGAATGGCCATCAAAATCAGTAATGGGACAAGAAGTCAAGGGTGGGTTTATTGACAACACCTCAACCCACACTGAAGAAACATACAAGTGTGGAAAAGATTTTAAAGGCTAGAAAAAAAGGCAGACTAAAAAGAGGAAAAAAAATTAAACCAGAACTGCCAAACACCAGTCATCCTTTCATATAACGGGACTCAAAACTATTATCAGTAAGGCTCGTGCAGAATGCAGCTCAAGTAGACAAAATAGTAGACTGAACATCAGAAAAACACAAGGTTGACACAAGGTTCTACATTTATTCACTGATATACCTTAACAGTTTCTAACGGAGAATGTTACCCATCAGCCAATCCAAATCCAATCCAGGCAGAACCTTCTGGAACTTTGTTGAAATTGCGCCCCCACCCCAAAAACACATCAAGAAAAGGTAACCGGAGGTAATTCGCACTTAGACTCCAGTCAGAATGACCTAGCCCCTGTCCCCCAAAATGAGACAGGTCCTCTTCTCGTAGGAATGGCTTCTCACAAGCTTTTACAGCAACACCAATTTATAGGTAGGCCTCAAACCCAAGATGGAGTCAGTGTGGTCTCTGGTTCTCTTTACAAACTTCAGAACACGGGGACCAGATTAACCTATACTTTAGTCATTTGCTTGCATGCTTCATTCATCATCTCATCAGTAAAAATCAGTAATCACCTGCAACAATCCTATTGGTATGATGATGGACATTGCCTGTAACTCTCATCCCAGTTGTAAAATTTATATTCCACCCTTCTAACACTTGTAGGAACCACTCTGCATGGCTCAGTATCAGGGCAGCCCAAGGAAATGTTGGTTCTTGGGGTGAAGTGTGAGACAGCAGTCCCCTTCCGAACCTCTCTACTAACCAGGCAGACCGGCAGTTGACTCTTTTTAAAGGACGGAAATGGGATGGCATCCCCTGCCTCAATTAAGAGCAGCCAGATGGCTTAGGGCAGTGGTCCCCAACCTTGGGCCTCCAGATGTTCTTGGACTACAACTCCCAGAAGCCTTCACCACCACCTCTGCTGGCCAGGATTTCTGGGAGTTGAAGTCCAAGACCATCTAGAGGCCCAAGGTTGGGGACCACTGGCTTAGGGGATAAAGAAAAGATTACTCAGAATGCATAGCTCTGCCTCCAACAGAAGGGAATTGCTAGAGCACTGCCGTGTGGCTTCCATCATAACATTCAGCATCTGCTTGCCTATGGCAACACTCTCCTGTGCCTCCTGGTGGGGAATGGCATATGAGTACTATTATGTTGGAATGTTACAATATAATACAGTGGTTCCCAATCTTGGGTCCCTGAATGTTTTTGGATTCCATCTTCAGAAACTCTGGCCAGTACAGCTAGTGGTGAAGGATTCTGAGAGTGTTAGTCCAAGAACATCTGGAGACCGAAGACTGGGAACCATAGATAAAATATAATAATGTATGTATTGTATTTATTATAGAATAATAATAATAGAAGAGCAGAAAAAGTGTTTAATTTCTCAATATTGTGAAGTGGCTAAGCTGTCTTCTTAGGCCAATTAATGATGTTGGGAAATTGAACGTGGAAGGGAAATTTAAAGCGTTAGTTATATTTTGTTTCAATTCCAGCAACTGCATGTACTAAAAACGAACCCAAATGGAACTTGAGGTTTCTCTGATTTTCATCCAACGTTCAAGCAATGATGCCACACAAAACTGCACAATGTGTTATGTAGTTCAAAACACAATGTATTATGAAGTTCAAAGGCACCTTTATGGAGCCTTTTTGTTTGCTTGCATGTATTCCTATGCATGTGGGGTAGAATAAATATGTCCATTCCTCATTCAGTAGTTTCACTTCTAGACATCTTGGAGAGAGAAACAAATTTTGGAGAGTGATAGCTTTAAGAAGATAAACGCAATTTTAACAAGCCATCTCTCAAAGGCAAAATAAAATAAAATAAAATAAAGAGAAAACAAGGATAGTTATAATTTACTAGGCATAAATATAAGAACAGAAGGACTGTCTGTAGTAAATAGACAGTTGGAGAGTATGCTATTAATACTGGTATGCCAAGTTCTATTTTCCATCAGTGGCACCCTTCATTTTACAACCCAGCTCCTTGGAACAGATTTATGTAAAGCAATGTCTCAATTTTCTGACAATTAGAGAGGGCTTTGTCACCAAAGATCCTTTGGGGAATATAGTAATGATAGGATGAATACAGATTCTTCCATATATTCATTGATAGTGAGAATCTATATGGTTGTAGTACATTTAAATAGGCCTGTTTCTGCTCAGAATATTGCAGGGACCTGCACTGACAAGTTTGCATTAATGTGATAACAGCTTGGAGACTCACAGCTTGGAGACATTATTTTTACACAACTATAGTTCTCAGCATCTCCCAGCTAGCATGGTCACTTTTTAACCACCAAAGAAATGAGTTTTTCAAACTTTGGGCTTTCTGGGAAGAGCAACTGAAGCAAACCTATATGTGGAGATTTCCACACGGCAAACACTTGCAAGATGTTTTAAAATGGACAAAAACAAAGACAGAAAGGGTCATATGGCCAGCTTGTAGGCTTCATAAGGTCAGTGACATCCCTGCCTCTCCATGTGGATTTTCATTAGTGTTTTCCCCACATCTCTAACTTCTTTCAAAGAAACCACTTTTTCACCATGAACCCACATATAGCCAAAAACAGAACAGTGGCAGCAGTGATTCAAAAGATGGGGCAGAACCAGTCAGCAACACCATGTTAATCCTCTCACCTCAGGCAGCTGGAGGCTATAGCAGGATTTGAATAAAATGTCCAGCTGTCATTGTTCCCCCCCCCAACCCCATAATTGATATTTACTTGCCTACTGGTTCTGAACTGCCTATGGGCAGCATGATGCTTGGAAGCCATTGGGTCTATCATGCTCCATGAATTGTTCTACTCTCCTTTTAAAACCGCCTAAATGAGAGGCTGTCTCCCACACCTTTAGGCAGGGAATGCCACAAATTAATGATGTCCTGGGTGAAAAAGTGCTTAATTTGGTGTGTCTTTAATCTCTTGCCATCCAGATCATCCCCATATTCTACTGTACAGTAACCTCCTTTTAGTTTTGAAAACAAGGTCATACTGGATTGTGCTGTTTTGCAAAGAAATATGCACATTGTTTCTGTTTAATGAGTTGCCACTCTCTGATTTCAAAGACAGTGTGGACAGTCATATCTCATCATAAACAATAATGAATCTTTCCTCCACTGCCTCTTACAGTGTGAAACAATTCTGCCTGTCCTTTGAAGACCAAACAATTACGATTGACCTTTGCTTCAATTTATTCTTTCTCATCTACTTTGGACTGCGGGTGAGTGATTTTTGTGATTGTCATCATCGTTGTTGTTGTTGTTGTTGTTGTTGTTGTCGTCATCATCATCATCATCATCATCGATGAAGGGATGGGAACTCTTTAGTTATCCATGTGTTATTGCAGCATCCATCAACTCCAGGCAGAATAGCCCATTTAGGGGGGTGATGGGTGTTGTAGTCAGCCACACTTGGGCACTCATTCCTTTCCCTTGATCTAGGGAAAAAAACATGCTTCCACTGGTGTGATAAAGGGCAGAATATAAGTTTTTCCCCCTTTACGTAGCAAGTTAAATTCCCCTACACAGCTGATGAAGTGGTAAAATCATATCTAGGCTGTACAATTTCAAACCATAGGTGAAGGCTTTATCTTGTCTTGTCTTTCTGATCTACACTTGCAGAAAAAATGAAGTGGCAGACTAGACAGTATTTACACTTCAGACATTAATAGGGTGGAGTGGAAAGAGATTCATAACTAGAGTTGGGCCTGAACTGCCAAACTGGCAGGGTTTTTTTCAGTCAAACATAGCGTGTGGCACTTCCCAGACTCACCTCCTCTGGCAGGCTCCGACGCAGCACACAGAGGAGGCACAGCAGAGAAGCCAGGGTTCATGACCATCTCTACTCACAACAAAATACAATGCTGAATGCTCCAAATTCTTGCAAAGGGACAAGTGTCACATCAGAGTGGGCTAAACAGGAATCTATTCACTGATGGTTGTCGGTATTATTATTGTTGTTTTACTTTTTATTTGAGCAACTTTTTTAAAAAAATGAAGCAGGTACCTTAAATATAAGAAGTATCCATTCTTCCCTGCATCCCATGATTTTTCCACTGCTTGGAGGACATTGTTGTCTGTCCCATATGGCCTACCTCACAGCATCCCCCCCTCCCACCTTTCCTGGCACCTTCATGTATTACAGAAGACCCAAGCCCATTGCTAGTACTGTATTGAAATAAGTTTCAAATGACAATCCAGTCAGCTTCTGAACATGGGGTACAGGGGCAGCCATCTTGTTCTTTACATCAAGTAAGATCTTTCTCCCCTCCCGAGCTCCACCATCATCTTCATGGGATGTATTGCATTGTTAAGTATGCAGGTGGGATAAATATGAAAGGAGGAAGAGCAGAGCAGCCCCTCCTTCATCCACCATCACTTTACTCACACAAAAGAGCAGGTGTGAATGAGAGAGACCCATCAATTCCTGAAGACTCCCCATGGAGAAATCAAGCTTCTGGCTCAGGTGGGCCAACATTCATGGGTTGATAAGTGTCCCCTCTGAAGATCTGTCTGATAGCAAAAGTAAAGTGATAATAAAGGGGAGGGGACCTCGCTGCTTCTGGATACGAAGCCACTAAGTAAGACTACTTACTGTGTATGTGTTGGGAAGCAAATGCCAGTTCCATTCATAAAGGAATTACAAAGGGAAGGTATTGTGCTGTGCTGAGTACCTTGTTCTGTTCTGTATTTTGTTAAATAAAAAGAACTGCTGGATAACTCCGTGGTTTAGGTATCTGGTTGCCGAGCTGGAGGTTGGGAGTTTGATTCCCTGCAGGGCCTCCTTGACAGGGGATGGATTGGTGAGGATCCATAGGGTCTCTTCCAGCTCTGCAGTTCCAAGATGATGATGATGATGATGATATTAAACATGTCTTATTACAAGATTGCAGTGAGGAAAGGCTGCAACAAGCCTGCTGTTAACAGATATGTAATGTCAAATTCCTTTCATTGCACATAGAGAGGAAGGAAGAAATTCAGCATAACTGTGAGGCCCAATCTTATGCAAAGTTTATCCAAATATAGTCAGTTCTCTCTTCAAACTTTGAGAGTACGTAGACTGCAGAGTTATGTCCACTGGAGACCATTAGATCATGGCTTCAACCTGTGGAATCTGTGGATTTGCAGTTTGCGGAGGTACTTGGCATCCTCTGCTGTAGAGTCAGTCTCATGCACTCCACTGAACTACAGCAGAGAATTCTTAGAACTTCATGGGATCACAAATCCTAGGATTCCACAGGGAGGAGCCACGGCAGTTCAGGTGGCATCAGAGTGCTGCAACTGACATGTGCAGGACATGGATTCCTTCCAAGGTGTGAAAAGTTTGAATGGGAAAGCTAAAGCAGATACAAAATGTGATGGGCAAGGTCATATTTCAACTAATCTCTTACAGATCATCAATTCATGTAGGAAGATAATGGATGAAAGAGAAATTGGCTTCTTGATGACATGGTGTAATTGGAAGAGAAGAGGAGTAATGAAACATACGGAGCTTTTTTATGCCAGCCCTCTAATTGTTTGTGGTTTTCTTTTTCTAGTTCTTGGCAGCAAGTGACAAGTTAGCATTTTGGCTTGAGCTGAATTCCATTGTGGACTTCTTCACCATTACTCCTGTCTGTATATCCTTCTATTTAGGAAAAAACTGGCTTGGTGAGTAAACACAAACTCAGTGGTTAAATTCTCTGGCTGCAGAGCCAGAGGTTGGGAGTTGAATTTTCCCACTGTGCATCACTGACAGGGGCTGGACTTGATGATCTCTAAGGTCCCTTTAAGCTCTGCGGATCAAAATGTTTTATATTATATTATTTGTTCTACCCTAGGTGCTTGAGGGGACAGCTCACTCTCTGACTCTTCCTCACACCCACATGGCCCCTGCTTGTCTCACCAAACAAAGAGCTCAGGCTACATATCCCACCAGCTGACACCAATTGTGACACGCCCCTCCCGTGTCCCCAGGTTGTTTCACTAGCCTGAGACCCATGACACATTTTCTTCTTTCTGCTGTTACCAGTTGACCTCTGTCAACATTCTTTAATTAGAAAGACTGAGGTCCAAGCTGAATATAAAATTGAATAAGACAGATTTATTGATTACAATTTGCTTAAACAGGTTCTTCACAGACTTTAATGTATTCATTAGATCAGTAATTAGATCACTCTTAACTCTCTTAGTTCTCTAAGTTCTACACTCCAAACTGCCTCCTTTAACTCTTAAAGGAGTGCCACCCTACCTAACTAGAACCAAATAACTTCTACTTCAGACTCTCATCTCTGACTCTCACTAAAAATGACCAAACCTCTCTTCTCTGACTCACCCCTCCCTTCTGGATTCTCTAGCTCCGCCTCCCAACAGCTCCCATTGGTGTATGCAAACAACCTCATGTATGAGCCAAAGCAGTGTGATCGCCACAGTCCTCCCCCCTTAATAAGGTTGTTTTATGAGGGTAAATCTAGCAGTTTGCCTTCATAAACAAACAGCTAAGAACATGCAAATATTACAATATCTTACCAATACTTATTGTTTTTGTTTAGTTGTTTAGTCATGTCTGACTTTTCATGACCCCATGGACCACAGCACACCAGGCCCTCCTGTCTTCCACTGGGTCAGATTCATGTTGGTTGCTTCGGTGACACTGTCCAACCATCTCATCCTCTGTCGTCCCCTTCTCCTTTTTCCTTCACACTTTCCCAACATCAGGCTCTTTTCCAGGGATTCTTCTCTTCTCATGAGATGGCCAAAGTATTGAAGCCTCAGCTTCAGGATCTGTCCTTCCAGTGAGCACTCAGGGTTGATTTCCTTCAGAATGGATAAGTTTGTTCTCTTTGCAGTCCAGGGGACTCTCAAGAGTCTCCTCCAGCACCACAATTCAAAGGCATCAATTCTTCGGTGGTCAGCTTTCTTTATGGTCCATCTCTCACTTCCACACATCACTACAGGAAAAACCATAGATTTGATTATGTGTACTTTTGTTGGCAAGGTGATGTATCTACTTTTAAAGATGCTGTCGAGATTTGTCATCACTTTCCTCCAAAGAAGCAG